CATTCACTTCAAGAAACTCATAGAAAATGAACAGGAAATAAAACTAAAACCAACTAACAAAAGCTACTTCAAAGTAATGAGGAAGAAATCACCGAGTCCAAGGCGTTTCTTGGTAAATCAATAGTCCTGGCAAACAAACCTAGCCATTTAAATTTTATTTTTCTTATTTTATGTGTATGCGTGTTTTGCCTGCTTGTATGTCTGTACACCGTTCTTGGAGACCAGAAGAGAGTTGGAACCACTGGAGTTTCAGGTGGTTGTGGGTACTGGCAACCAAACTTGGGTCCCCCGGAAGAGCAGCCAGCCACTGAGCCATCTCTTCAACCCGTTTTGTTCATTTTTCAAACAGCGGTCTCTCTCTCTATAGTCAGACTAGCCTCAAATTTGCATTTTCTTACTCCCCGAGTGATGGGATTACAGGTGTGTGCCACCACACCCAGATGCCCTGGGAGTCTATTAATCTTGTTGGATAATGGCCTCTGTTGCTCTGGATCCGTTGTCATTGGAACTCAGGAACCAGAACGATTCAGGAAGTGTCTGTGGGAGCTTGGAGCAGGTTTCGCTGCTCCCTGTACTCTTGCCTCTGCTGCTTGCTTTCCACAGACAGACCGGTGCAGACCCCGCCCTGTAAGACTCAGCTCCAATGTGCCCCGCCTCCCGGTGGGGCTTTGTGGATGCAAACAACTAACAACTAACTGCAAAGCCAGCATGGGGTGAGCACTTGGAGACAGTGGGTAAATCCAACACTTGTGGCGCGGTGGATGGATGGGCGTGTTAATGGCTAGGTTAAACCCACCGGTGGAGGTGGAGGAGCGGTGACTGCTGGAGGATTTCAGCCCACAGTAAAGCCAGGGCAGGACACCGCAGGACGGGAAAAGCACGCACAAGCCCAAGGCTGTGTGTGTAAAAGCACCGAGGTGTGGGCAAGGGTGGGCTGCCCCGTGTGACAGCTGTGTGGGAGGCCGATGAGTAGTGGGGCGGGTGGCTGTTGAAGGGCATCAAGGAAAAGTCACAAAAGGCTTTGAAGGGCTATGTTTGTATGCTTCGGGGTGATGGGGAGTACAAAAGCCCGATTATGAGATTGCCACTGCCCTTAATGAGACAGGAGACCATGCAGTAGGTAACATGGGGCACACTGCCCGAGAGGCGTCTACCCCAGTGGAAGATTGGGTCTGGGGGCCTGGAACGGGGTGTTAGGGGCCCAGCCCCAGATCTCATTCCCATTTCCTGGCTCCTGCATGCCACCCTTCACCCCATCCCAACTAGGGAGGAACCAGGAGGTAGCTCGTGGCAGCTCCCTGGTTACTGTGTATAGCTTCTCTATGCTTCACTATGATTTCAGCCCAGCCCCCACAAGGCTTCCATGGCCCAGTCTTTGTGTCTGCACAATGGCTATCTTTGTCTTGAGCAGCCTCCTTCATCTCTGCTTGTCTCTCTGTCAATCCCCCAGTCTCCCCTCCGCCTCTCTGATCTTGGCTTCCCACACTGAGTCCTTGTACAACTTGCTTTTCTAACACAGGTTGAGTGCTTAAAAAGGAGAATAAAATTTTGGGGGCTGGAGAGATGGCTAAATGGTTGTGAATGCTTGCTGCTTTTCCAGAGGACTTGAGTTTGGTTCCTAGGATCCCCTTCAGGTTTCCAAACCACCTGTAATGCCAGCTGTAGGGCATCTGATACCTTCTTCTGGCCTCTGAAGACACTGCATTTAATGCCTATGTCACACACACACCTAAAAATAAAGGCTTTTTTTAAATAAAAAGAATCAAGATGTCCAGTATTAACAGTACTGATACTCTTTCAGGAGACCCAGGTTCGCTTCCTAGAGCCCACAAGGCTTACAACCATCTAACGAAGTCCCAGGGGCCCTGATGCTGTCTTCTGACATCCACCAGACACATATGTGGAGTCAAAACACCCACACACAGAAAACAAAATAAACCTTTAAGAAGAAACAAATTTGTCAGGCAGTGGTGATGGTACAAGCCTTTAATCCCAGCACTCTGGAGGCAGAGGCAGACGGATCTCGAGGCCAGCCTGGTCTACAGAGCAAGTTCCAGGACAGGTTCCAAAGCTACACAGAGAAACCCTGTCTCCAAAAACAAAAATCAAAGAGGAAGAGGAAGAAGAAGGAGGAAGAGGAGAAGGAGGAGGAGGAGGAGGATCAAATTCTTGTCAAGAATTCATCCACCAAAATGTCCTGTGTCCATGGGTTGGGTTGTGTGTGTAGGGTAGAGAGAGTTCAGTTCATACAGTGTTTGCTTTGCAAGCATCAGGACCTGGATTTGAGTCCCTGAATCCACGTGAACATGCTGGGCATGGTGACACATGCTTTGTGATCTCAGTGACTGGTGAGGCAGAGACAGGAAGATCTGCTGGGCTCACTGGCTGGCCAATGCAGCCTAACTGGTGAGCTCCAGGTCAGTGGGAAAGCCCCTGAGGATGGCACCTGGGGTGTTCGTAGTCCTCCATGTGCAAGCATACACATGTGTACACCCCCCACCCCGTGCACCTGTACACATACAATAAAACCCTGTTCAATCCTCGTGCAGTTCACTGAACCTCCTACTCATGTCTCCTCCCTTACGTTGCCTGACTAGATGGCTGCCTGGCTGCTGTTACCACATTTGACAGATGACAAAAGGAAGGCCTCAGGGCAGGGCTGGCTTTCTAGGTGTAAGAGCTGTACCATTAGTGCCTGTTTGGTTTGAGACAGGGTCACTTGATTACGCAGCCCTGGCTGCTCTGGAACTCACTGTCTAAGCCAGGCTGGCACTGAACTCACAGAGCTCCACCTGCTTCTGCCTCCCAGTTAAAAGTATGTGACACCATGTCTGCCCCAGTATTTAATACTTCTGCCATCATCTTAAAATTTTAATAGTTTTTTAACACAGGTCCACATTTTAATTTGTACAGGGTCTTTCAAATCAGGTAGCTGATCTTGCTTTAGGGGAGGTGGAAGGGACCTTTGCCAAGGCTTCCTGATTCTCAAGGGCCGCCTCTCTAGAGTGCCTGACTCCTGACAGCCAACAGCCAGAGCTCCCAAGATTCATTTGCCTTTCAAGCCCTGGTCCTGGTCAGGGAAACTTGAGGAGCACAGTCCCGAAGGTGGGAGGGAGGGAGAGGGAGAAAGAATAAGAGTAGGAGAAATGATCACTAAGGCTCATGCAGACATCTTGGAAGTCAGGAAGACAATCTGGATAGCCCAGCTCTGCCTAGGGAAGCTGCCAGGGTAGGCCCCAACATCAGGGCCCAGCCATGATCTAAGAAACATCAGGGCCCAGCCATGAACTCTCTTCAGGGCCTCCCCAAGCACATACAGCTCCAGGGTTAGGTCCACAACATACTTGCTGTATGAGCCTTGGTTTCCCTAAATATGCTATGGGAATGATAACGCTCACAGGGTCCTGGTGAGAATCAAGATACCTTAACACAGTAGCCAGCACAAAGAGGATGAGCTATAAAGAGTCCTTCTGGAGACTGATCATGTGACAGGGACATCCACCTTCAAAGAGTTCCTCATGGTAGGGGCAGGGGTTAGTGACCACCATGTGCTGAGAGGTACCATATGTGGAGGAGGTCTTAGAATATCAATGTTTAGACCAGGCGGTGGTGCCACATGATCAATGTTTGAGCCAGGCATGACTGTAATCCCAGCACTCTGGAGGCAGTGGCAGGCGGATCTTTGTGAGTTCGAGGCCAGCCTGGTCTACAGAGTGAGTTCTAGGACAGCCAGGGATACACAGGGATACACAGAAAAACCCTGTCTCGGAAAACTAAAAAAAAAAAGATCAGTGTTTGGGAGTTGAGAGGAAGGAGGCCAAACACGAGGAGCAGAGGGAGTGGCCAGCACCGGCAGGAGGTAAGCAAGGGTGAGGGTTCAGGGCTTTAGATTGCTTGGCTAAGCGGAGGTAGGAAGCAGAGAGGGAAAGACCTGGAATGGAGGCTGGGGAGCTGGGCTGCCTTGAAGGCGGTGGAAGCCCCCAAGAGAGTTTGAAGCAGGAAGTGTCAGTGAGGGGAGATAGAGGCACCCCTCAAGCAAAGACGGAGTGTTGGAGGGTTGGAGGCTAGGCCAGGCACTTCCCAACCCCCCACCACCGTTGTGGACTCTCAGAGCAGAGGGTTTTCTCAGGGGAGATGAGAGAAGTTAGAGAGAGAAGATGAGGATGCCTGCCAGGAGGCAAGTGCTTGCTCAGTGCCGGACAGACAGGAAGCCTCCTAATGTGAGGTGGACTGGGGAGCAGGGGTAGGGGCTTTGTCAGTCCCCTCCTGAACTGCTGCTACTAATGCAGTTGCCCCTGTGGCTTCACTACACCTCGCAGAGAGCATTACAGCTTCTGGGCTTTACCATTAACCTGCTATGGCTGCGAGGTTTCAGGGAGACGCCCTCGATGCTATTCTACCCTCCATGTGGTACTTACTGTGACTCACTGGGCTTCCATTTCCTGGCTGGATCAATACGGTCCTAATTCTTTCAGTCTTAAAGTAAGTAAAACTATGAAAGCTAAGGTGCTTAAGTTGGAGTAAGATGGTAGGGGGAACAGTGCGGGGGGATGAGAAATCTGCTGGTTTGGTGATCCACAAAATCTTATGTAGGAAAGTGTCAGGGAACCTCACCTCCCAGGCTCTGAGAGGGGACAGTCAGTCCTCTGACCTGGAAGCTCAGGGTGATGGGCAAGACATTGTGTGGAAAATCATATTGAGAGCCAAGCATGGTAGAACATGCCTACAATGCCAGCACTTAAGAGGCTGAGACCGGAGGACTGCTGTGAGTTTGAGGCCAGCCTGGCCTACGTAGGGAGATCCTAGCTAAACAAAAACAAAACAAACAAAAAATAAAGAAAACAGCAGAGAAAGGGAGAGACTGGGGCTCAGAAAGTAATCACAGAAAAGGTGAGGAAAGACTTGAGTCTGAATACAAGGCGGTGAGGTCCTCCCGAGCCTTTCATCTGTCCCTCAGGCATTGCTAGGTCACCTGACATGAAAGCTCAGACGTCATGTACCTCAGGGATGCCGTTTCTTTGGCCCTGAAGTAAAGTAATTGGACAAGAGCAAGCTCAAAGTCCAAGACTGGCCACTGACCACGCCGTGGATCTTCTAGAGACCGGGCTAAATCCTGGATCCCGGGGAAGCAGCAGGGACAACAGGAGAGGCCTGGTGCCTGAAAGGGAAACCAGGAAACACATCAGCTGGGCCTTCAATAACCAAAATACTCCCCTCACACTAGGACTCTAAAGTCTCTGGAAGTTGTCTGCACTCTCACAGAGAGGGTTAGACCAGGTGCCTTCCTGTCTCCTAAGTGGAGGCCCCGGGAGGCCGCAGAGGCTCAGCCACACAGCTCTGTGTGTTCACCCTTTCTCACTCTGGACAAGGCTGCAGCCAGCAGCACCCTTTCTGGGCCCCTCCTGGAGCTGGAAGCAGGGTTCTGGTCAGCTGATGTACATTTAACAAGGCCCACAGTCCTAGGGCAGAGGGCAAGCTCCCTGGCCACAGGGAAACGCCTGTCCTAAACTTGGCCATCCATTTAGCCCTAGGAAGACTCCCAGGATGGACAGTAGAAGGAGGATCATGAAAATTGCCCGCTCCATTTCACAGAAAATGAGTCCCCGCGTGGGACTGGAGGTAGTTCAAGGTCTCTCAGTACTAAAGCTGGCCTAGAACTTACAGATACCTGGGCCAGAAATGGAGGGTGCAGAACCTCGTGCACCCATCCATTCACGGACCAGCAGTTGAGAGATGGCTGGTGTCCTTGCCCTTTTGTGGTCAAACTAGGGCCGTGGCACAAATAGGGTTGGTGACGACAGAAGATCTGAAGGGCAAAGAGAAGAACTGAGGCAGTTCAAGATGGGAGGGCAAACAGAACAGGGACTTCAGGGCCCTGCTGGCAAGGAGAAGCGAGACCAAGAGCATATGGAGGTGGTAAAGGGGTAAAGACCCTTCCCGGAGCAGGTCCGGAGCAGGTCCTTCTGGAACCAAGATGGGCTAGGGCGGCAGCGGAGGGGAGGCTGCAGGTTAGCATAAAGGTCCACCTGTGGGCAGCGACAGGAACTATGCCAGCACCAAGCAAACCTTGTAAAATTTAGGTGGCTCTGAAAACCTCCCCTTTGATCCGGTGAGTGAGGCAGGTGGCCTCTGCCCAGCCGGAACGGTCGCCTCCCACCCCTCCCTGCTCAGAACCCGTTTCGGACACGCTGACCCCACCTCGGTGCAGCCAGGCGGCATCTCCAAGCCGGTGACAAACTGGAGGCATCTGTCCCGGACGACTCCAGCGTCTGCCCAGAGTCTGCCCCGCCCTTCTGCTTACCGCCTGGCCATGGGGTACGGAGCCAGGCGGGGTGGGGCGGGGACCGCGACTCTTTCAGGCACGTGGGACCCCGCGCGTCTGAGCATGGGACTCGGGGACCGGGAACCGTGGCTGTGGCTCCTGGAGGGGACCAGCACATGGAGTATGTGAGGGGGGGCACCCTAGAGGGGAACGGACGCCGGGAGAGGTCGCCGCCGGGTGCCGCCTGGGAGCTGGCGCTCCAGTCGACTCAGCGCCGGGCAGGAGAGCCCATTACGTGACTCTGTCCTGCCAGCCCAGCTCCCAGCCCTCGTACTGAGCGAAGCTGGACGGTGAGAGCGGCTGCCGGTCTGCTGTTGAACTTTGTCTCCTCTGGAACGTGGATCTTGGTGAGTGACACTCTGGTGTATTTACCGGCATACTGGGGGAAATCTGTGTGTTGGTGGGCGAATGCACACATCCCTGGGGTGTGAGTGGCTGAACTTAAATTAGTCTGTGTACCCCTGAGGTGTAAGTCTGTGGACGGAGAGACCGGGGAGTCCTGAGAGTTCTTGTTTTCCGTCCTCTCTCCTCAGAGTCACTCTGGATGTTGTGCTGCTGCGGGAGAGGTGTGTGTGTGTGTGTGTGTGTGTGTGTGTGTGTGTGTGTGTGTGTGTGTGTGTGTGTGTGATGAGATAGGGAAGGCTCTGGGAGGGGGTGGTGGTGCAGTTTCATGTAAGGACTTTTAATCTGTCTGGAAACTTTTAAACTGGCAGGTGGTGCTGTAGGAAGAGTCAGGCAGAAGAAAGACAGTGCCCACCTTATTAGGGCCTCTGTGTGTGTGTGTGTGTGTGTGTGTGTGTGTGTGTGTGTGTGTGTGTGTGTGTGTGATATCTCCAGGAGCTAAAACCAAGTGTAGATTCTGCTGGGAACTGGGAACTAGCTTTTCCAGTTTAGGTATTTAGAGGGCTAGGTTACTGCTGTTCTCAGAAAGACATCCCCAGAGTCCCTGGGTCAGCAGCCTTGTTTTGGATCAAGTTTGAAATAATGGCTTTTGAGGATCAGGTTGGGGCCCCAGGGAAGTGTCAGTTATCTGTGGTGAGAGAGGGAGAAGGAGATTCTGTAAACAGTCAGCCTCTGAAAGGATGGCCAGTGCCAGTGCTGCCCTGCCCCAGAGGCCTGCCACTTTCTCCACGCTTGGGATTTTCCTGGGTTTTGAGGGGATGAGAAGGTTGACAAACTACTCAGAAATGGCTGCCTAGAATGCCGAGTGTGGTTGTGGCCTTTCCGGTACCCCTTGTACTCACACCTCCATGAACCAGCTGAAAGTGTGAGGACATCACCAAGGCCTCATGGGTGACACCAGGACATCTTTAATTTTGTGCCTGTACTCTTGCTTTCTTTCCTTTTATTTACAATTGCTTATGCTACTTATCCGAATGTTGTTGAATTGTTACTTGTTACAGTTTACAAAATTTCCTCATTTTATCTTCCTAAAGGCTCCACGAGAAAGGAACTTTTTTTTTTTTTTTTTTTTTTTTTGGTTTCTTGAGACAGGGTTTCTCTGTATTGTTTTGGAGACTGTCCTAGAACTCGCTCTGTAGACCAGGCTGGCCTCCAACTCACATAGATCTGCCTGCCCCTGCCTCCCCGGTGCCCAGCTGAGAAAGGAACTATTATTGCCTTTATTTTGTAGATGAGAAAATGGAGACTATCTTGTCCAAGGTCACTCCTGCCCCAGCTGAGGCCTCCCCATCTAGGACCAGAGCTTCAGGATGAGGCAGTGCCACTTGTTTCTAGGCTGAAGGCGGTTTGAATACTGCGTTCTTGCTGTGTAGCCATGGCTGGCCTGGAACTCACTAGTGGACCAGGCTGATCTCAACTCACAATGATATCTGCTGGTAACCTAGCTCTGAAACTCTGGGATTAAAGACATGTACCACCATGCCTGACTGCCCCCAGGAGCCTTTTTTGGGGGGCTTTCTTGTAGCCTAATTACCCAGCTATTTCTGGAATAATCACCACTGTCCCCAGTCTGTTCGTAGGGCCTGGAAGATCCTGCTGACCTGCTGAGTAATAAGTGCCCTCCCTGGCATCTCTCTTCTTCCTTAGTGCCTTCCCTGGGCCTGTGCACTCTTTAACCCATGCTTACCCTTGGGTTCCTAAGCCACCAGTGGGGCCCAATGGGGAGAACCTGGCTGCAGGACCCTCCTTTATCTCTAGAGAAGCCTGCTAGTCATGTTATGAATCCAGGTCATCTCTGCCTTCTCACACTATCCCTAACACCCAGCACAGATGGGGCACATAGCAAGGGTCAGGAAGTATTTTGGAAATGGATGACCAGGTGCAGTGGATATTCAGAAGAGAAAGGTCTTCTTTCTCGAAGAACCACCATAGTGCCCCCCCCACACCCTTAAGATAGGGTCTTATGTAGATTGGCCTTGGCCTCAGTCTATTGAATGACCTTTACTTCTAATCCTCCTGCCTTCACCTCTTGAATGCTGGGCTTGTAGACACGTACCTGTTTTATCAAACCAAGGGCTTCTTGCATTCTAGGTAAGTTACATCCCAGCCCTTCCTTCAGCGGGTCTCGAGAGAGAGAGAGAGAGTAGCTCCTCCATTGCCCTGGCCAGACCCTGAGGCCTTGCTATAGAATGAGTAGCAGGATTCCCTGATGCAGAGAGTGGCATCCTAGACTTTGCTGGGTTCAACTTGATCCTCCATTTTGGTGTCCTGTCACTGCCATTTCAGAAGAGAGGCCTAGGCACTGGGCCCCCCTCCAGCTTATACGGATACAGCCTCCTGGAGAGTGTCTAGCCTCCTTCAATTTGTAAGTTAGACTTGCCCAGGCCTGCATCTGGGTCAGAAAGGCTCACCAGGAGTCCCAGACCAAGAGTATAGGCTTTTTTGCCTGTACCATTACAGTCTCCTCCATGGTCACCCACCCTCCAAAACCCTTTGTAAGGGTCTGTTCTGAAAATGCCTTCCCTTTTTAAGTGGGATAACAAGCTCTCAGCTTGGCATTTGAGCCCTTTCATATGAATTCCTTGACCCACACACATTCCATGCCACCTAAACCTCCAAGCCAGCCACACAGGATCTCCTGGCACTTCCTCAACAGCCTGTACCCTCACCCACTGAGTCTTGGCTTGGGATTCCTTCCTCCCCATCTCTGTCTGCTTGACAACCCTAGGTTATCCATTAAGGCCAGCTTGTCATTGTCTCTGTGACCCCCGAGCTTCTAGTCTCTGGGTTCCCTTTGGATATGGTTGGATTCCTGGGTCTTTTCCCAAAGCGTAACTGGGTACTCCTCAGAGAGCCTGGCAAAGTTTGTCCTCTGAGGCCATGCATGTAGAAGTATTGGCAGGTGTTTGCTGGAGTATTGTAGCTCTCAGGATGGTGAATTACGGCTGTGTTGCTCTGAGCACAAACTCCTGGGGTTCTGACAACCTCAGCCACAGGAAACAGAGCTTCAGACACAGCACCTGCTTCGTTCAGCAGGTGAACTGAAGGAACACCATGGAATTCAGACACTCTTGGGATTAGACTAATAGAGCTGCTGACCTGGGAATATTCTGAGGAGATCATCTGTCTCACAGCCTCCTGTACATCCTGTGATGAGAACCTGGATTCTCCCATCTCATAAACTGGATGCTTCCTGCCCCTCCCCCAATATGGGAACAGCTTGAACCACAACCTCTGCCTCTCTGCTGGGGACCCAGAGCATCTTGCTCCCATGGACTCCCACCCCCATGGCTCTCATGGACCCCCACCCCCGTGGATCCCTGGTCTTATTCATTCTTCTGTGACTCTTCCAGTTTGACCAGTAAAGAACTCACATTCAGAGACTGGGTCTGATTAGATCCAGACTGCACACCACAGCAGGCTCCAAGTTGGAGCCTGAACGCAGGGTTCTTGCTTCTTGGGTCTCCGTGGAGGCACTCAGCTGTGCTTGACTGGGATGGAGTTTGGAACCCTGTGGTTCTGAGCTCATTTAGCCCATCTCTGGAGCCTGGTGCTGTACTCGGCTAAGCTGGGCCAGGGTGATTTGGGGTCCTGCCCTGGCTAGGTAGTCCCTTTCTCCTTAGAGTCTCAGCTTTGTGCTCTGTAGAGCACCGGGTGCTCTCTCTGCCTCGGTGAGTGCTCCCACAACTGAGATCTTGGGATCTTTAGAGAAAGTGCTGCAGAGCACAGGGGCCTTCTAGAATGGAGGCCTCATACCACAGACACACCATCTGAAACCATCAGAGGTCACCCCTGAGCTGCATCCCCAGACTAGGCCTGGTGCTCAGTGCTCTTGGTGTGACGTGCCAGGCACAGCTGGGGGACCTGCTATCCTCTGAGCCCTTGGAGGACATTTGCATGAGGACAGGCAGTGACTTCTGGGCTCCTGATCCCACACTGCCTAGATTGCCCTGTGCTACACTGAAACCACGGGGATGCTTAGCAGCTCGGGTCACCTTGCCCAGATGTGGGCTCACCTGATGCCTACTCCTCAGGTGCCTCTTCTCCAGGAAACATTCCCCAGCAGGGGCCTCCCCACCGCCAGTGCCCCCTTCCCCAGCAGGGCCTCTTCAGCTTCCTTCAGGCCTGATCACCCTGAGTTGTCATTGTCTGTTTCTGGGTGTGCCTCCCTGACTTCGACAGTGACCGTTTTGAGATTAGGGAAGAATGTAATCTCAGAGTGGCAGGGGCAAACCTGGGGACAGCCTAGGGCAGAGGGCTCTGAACCTCCTCCCTCCTGAAGATGGGTGTGGGAGCGTGAGGTGCTAATCTTAGGCCAGCCTGGCGGTACCCTTGCCACTGTAGCCTTACCCATAATTCCTGCTGGACTCCTTGCCCCTCTCGTCTTTTGGGGGACTGACTCCATCCTTCCTGTCTCCACCCTACATGGCAACCTCCTCTCTTGTTATTCTGTAGTGTGTGTGTGTGTGTGTGTGTGTGTGTGTGTGTGAAGTTTTGCTCGCAAGCAAGTTCTGTTAAGAGGAGATTGGCATGTGGGCTGTGGGGTTGACAGCGCTGTCCATCCAACAGCTGGAAAGGGCAGAACAGATTCCCCACCCACCCTGTGCTTTCTCTTCCCGTGTGTGTGTGTGTGTGTGTGTGTGTGTGTGTGTGTGTGTGTGTGTATGTGTGTGTGTGTGTGTGTGGTTCTTCGAGATGGGGTTTCTCTGTAGCTTTGGAGCCTGTCCTAGACCAGGCTGGCCTTGGATTTACAGAGATTCGCCTGCCTCAGCCTCCAGAGTGCTGGGATTAAAGACATTCACCACCACTGCCTGGCTCTACTCCCTCTTGATGCTGTTCTAAATCCAGGTCCTCAGTTCCCCTCTCAAAGTTTTTTTCCTGACAAAGGTAAGTGGATAGCAGGGGCCTCTAGGGTGTGATAAGACACTCTCCCCTGCCTAGCTGGACAGGGTCCACCAGCCTAGTAGGTGGCACATTCCAGAGCCACCCTAGCAGAGGAGCAGGAATGTTGTCCAACCACCCAAGAAAGTCCGCTACTAGCCTGGGAACAGCCCGGGAACAGCCCTGCTTCCTCCTCTTGGCTTTAGACTTCCTAGCCTGCGACTACTAAGAAGCAACCAGGCTAGAGTCGGTGGACCTCGTCTCCTGGAGATGGAACAAAGAGGCAGAGCTTTGGGGCCTGCCTGGGGTGGGATCTGGGCATTGCAGGGTGGGTAGGAGGTAGCAGTCAGGGTACATCATAACTCTGTGCTGTTTGCTAGTTTTTGGCCCTGAAGAGGTTATTTTAGCCTGTCAGAACCTCCAGGTTAAGTATGAAAAGGCTTAGGAAGCCACCTAATGTAAAAATGGTACAGAGAATGCTTAGTGCTCACCACCAGACTGATGGTAGAAGATGAAGGAAGCTGCCACCCAGTGAGATGGAACCATGTGACCACTTCAGTAGTACTGAGACAGGAGGATGAGGGACAAGGTGACAATGGCAGGGACCTTGAGGGCAAGGCTGAGGACCTTGGTTGTTAACCTGATAGCACTAAGGAGCTCTGGAAGGGCTTGAGCTCAAGGGCATGTGGTCAAAGGTGGGCATTAAGAAGACCATGTGACTGAAGACTTAAGGTTGGACAGGCAGAGCAGAGGAGGGCAAAGAGGATGGTGAGTAGTCCAAGGGAAAGCTCAGTCCTATGTCTCTACTTTGGTGCAAAGAACATACAAGCCCATCTAAGGAACTCTACTGGTTGAACTGGTAGGATTTGGTGAGTGGTGGGCATCAGATGGGGTGGAATATTGAGAGATGGGAACCCAGGAGGATGGTAGAGGCCCTTTGAGAAAGTGGTATGCTCTACCTTAGCGGGTTGGTCAGGCCTTCCTGAGGACAGACCTCGGGGAGTGTACCTGGGTGGGGCAGGGTGAAAAGAGGAGCTTGTCTTGCCACCAGACTCTGGAACAGACAACCAGATAGCAACCTACACTCTGGCCTGTGTCAGCCTAGAATACCAGGCCAGGTGCATCAAGTCATCAATGGCCGGGAGGCACTTCCCAGGCTCTCTCTTGGTCCGGTACCCTGCAGCCACGCCTCTCCTCCTGCTCTCCCTCCTTTACACTGCACCTGCATCTTGGGGGCTCCACTCCCCCACTGTTGAGAAAGTGAGCAAATGGGAAAAGATATTTGGGGACTAGGGGGCCGAAAACATAGCTGAGTGGCAGAGCACTAGCCTAGCATGCTTTCACCCTGGATTCAATCTCCAGTACCAAAGGGAAACATGAGTATGTGTGTGTGTGTGTGTGTGTGTGTGTGTGTGTGCTCGTGTGCGTGTTGGCAGAATACTTGGCCTAGCATGTTTGAAGCCCTGGGTTATCTAGCCCCAGCACCACACAAAAAGGGTGTGGTGGTACACATCTATAATCTAAGCAGTTGGGAGGTAAGGGCAGAAGAATCAGAAAGTCAAGGTCATCCTCAACTATACAGTGAGTTTGAGATCAGCCTGAGATCCACAGCACTCTATCTCAAAAGCAAAAAATTAGTCAGGAGGCTCTTGGTGGGTGCTGTGACCTGTCCATACAGAGGGTCCTTCCCCTACACAGCTGTCCTCTCTCTAGAAAATCCCCTGTGTCTGCTGTATGTAAGGGGCTCCTAGCTCAGCTCTATGCTCTGTCACACGGGGATTCAGCTCAGGTAGCTTCCATGGACTATACCAGGCCTCGTCTAGACCATGTCAATATGCCCCCTGCATGTGCATAAGTGTGAATAAAAGTGTGTGCTTTGGGTGTCTGTGTGCATTTGTACCTGTGTGTTTGTGTATTTGTAACACCTGTGGAGGAATGTCTACCTGTGTGGAATGAAGAGGAAGGCACTCCAGTTAGACACCTATCCTGGGCAAAGGTATGTTGGCAGTACTGTGCAGTATACACTGAGCCAAGAGGCTATTGACTGTTTCCCGCTGTGGAGCTGAAGTGTAGAACCAGGGCCAAGGGAAGGGACATTGGAGACTTGGCTCAGCTCTTTAGATACCAGGGAAGGCCTTCCCCAAACCTCCTTCCTGTGAGAGGGGGTGCCTGAGAAGGAAGCTATGAACAGCCTGGCCCGTTCCTGGAACATATGAGCTAGCAGGGGATAGCAGGGTGTGTGGGCGTGCAGAGGGCACTGTGACCAGGACAAGCACACCAGGTCTCCTCTTGGCTTCTTTGGGGCCACAGTCCACAGTTACAGCAGAGGAGGCACTCTGTGGGGGAGAGAGAAAGAGAAAACATGGCCTGGCTGGCAGATTCCAAGCCCACATTTTCTTCTTCATCTCCGGGTGTCTGCAGGAGCCCTCCAGGCAGCTGCTTGCACTGAAAAATGCTGGAGGCTGGGTGCGGCCCCAGGCCCAGGAACCTGTTCTTCCTGTTTCCTGCCTCAGTCCCAGCAGCTGGTCCAGGCCTGAGCATTTATGAGTGAAGAACTGGAGCAGACGTTGAGCATCCTCACTGCACGGAGAGCAGGAGCTGATCGGGTCCAGGTGTGTGGGGCAGGCCCACTGGCTGGGAGGGAGGCTGGGCATTTTCTGTGTGTGCGCATTGAATTCTGCTTACATCAATGGGATCCAAGGCAGGGACCCCGCTCTGCTCCTTTATCTCAGGCTCTGCTGAATTCAGGCTCTGTAGCCAGACAGTCCTCAGTGTGTATTTTTTCCAGTTCCTTGCTTAGCCTGTATGTAGGTATTTACCAGGGCCTGAACACTGCCTTGTGGGACCTGCTTAAACCTAATCAGATCCCTAGTGAACAGGAAGGGTAGCAGAGTGGACTGCAGGATGTGGAGACGATTAGACCGAGCCATACATGGGCCAGGCAAAGTATGGGGTTGCCTCAGCCTGCTGACTAATCCCAGACTGTTTCCCTGGCTATAGCATAGAAGGGCAAGGTCTTCTGGGTCCAGTCTGTGTTGAACAAAAGAGGTAGTCTAAGGATCCCTCTGGGGCAGGAGAAGGACTTGGATGGGTTGAGTCACATGACTTGTGGGCTCAGCTCCTCTGGGTTCCTACAGCCTCTAGTGCATCATTTACTCATTCATTCATTCATTCTTTCTTTCTGTCTTGCAATAACTTGTTGCAGTTTGGACCTCTTGCTGGACTGTAGATACAGGGAAAAATCTTCACACAGATGCAGCCTTCAAAGAAATGTGCTGGGGTTGGAGTAGAAAGACAAATTCGCATAAGGCTGGAAACATGGCCTGAGGGACTAGGGGACTGAGAAAGCCTCAGTGATAAGGGACTTTGAGAAAGAGCCTGGAGAAATGGGTGGGATGAGTCTTAAAGGATCCTCTGGAAAGGGTCTTGGGACAGTCAGTACAGCGTGAACGAAGGTGAGGAAGGCCTTCCAGTGTTTCTAGGGTTCACTTCTCCGTTAAACTGGGAGTTCCTGGGACACTGCCAGCCAGAACTGGGCATAACAGAGCCAGCCAATATGAGGGGACAGTGACCAAGACAGGGGGAGCGGTCTCCACGGAGCTGAGGTGAGCTCTCAAGGGCGGCAGGAGTCGGGACTTGGTGCTAAGGGAGAGGGCTGGGGACTGGCAAATGGGCTTTACAGGTTAGTGAGGCAGCCCAGGGAAGGAAGGAGAGGCGGGCAGGGTCAGTCTGGATCAGGGCCATTGTGATAGAACTCTCAGCTGGCCTGGAGGACAGAGGCCAGGATGTCTTAAAACAGGTGGAAAGGGAAGCTTGCTCCCTGGTTCTGGGGACAAGGAAGTCTCCACCCTGCCTCTAAGTGTCAGAGATTCCACCAGCAGGGAACGGCAGCGAATTAGTGATGTTGACTAGAGAGAAGGCTTGGAGAGGACCCGAAGCTGCCTCTGAGTGGAGCCCAGGGGCAGGCAGGAGTAGAGCTGACAGAAGTGCTGGGTCAGAAGCCTCCATCTCCAGCAGGGCACAGCTCCTCCTCAGAGGAGGTCGGGGGTCCAAGGTGGGGGTTTGACACCTGAGAGGGAGGAGGGCTTCTTATCTGGGACCTTCTGTCCAGGGTTCCTGCTCCCTACCTGCCACTGAGAGTTATGTTGTTAGTGTCATTTTGTTTTGCTTTGCCTTAAACAGAGAGAATGTAGATTTATTATGAAAAAAATGAGAAAAGAATTCCCTAAAATGCCTCCAAGAGAGGAAGACTACGGTTTTAAAAAACATTCTGTTGTTGTTAAAATTACTATTTCTTGGAGCTGGAGAGATAGTTTAACAGTTTCTTGCATAGGACCTAAGTTTGATTCCCAATTGGTGGTTCACAACCATTTGTAACTCCAGTTCCAGGGAACTGGGTACCTTATTCAGGCTGCATGACAGTACATGTATATTCAGGCAAAACTCATCATGTACATTGTTTGTTTTTGTTTTGTTTTGTTTTGGTTTTGGTTTTTCGAGACAGGGTTTCTCTGTAGCTTTGGAGGCTGTCCTGGAACTCACTTGGTAGACCAGGCTGGCCTCGAACTCACAGAGATCCGACTGCCTCTGCCTCCCAAGTGCTGGGATTAAAGGCGTGTGCCACCAACGCCCGGCCCCATCATGTACATTGTTAATTTAATATTTCTGGGCTGGAGAAAGACTCGGTGGTCAAGAGCGATTGCTGCTCTTGCACCCACAAGGTGGCTCATAACCACCTCTAACTCCAGTTCCATGCATTCTGACCCACATTCTGATCTCTGCAGGTGTTAGGCACACACATGTTGCATGTACATACATGCAGGCAAAAAAAACTTATATGCATAAAATAAATAAATAAGTTTTTAATTTATTTTGAACCTGTTCAATAAGATAAGATTTAACCACATAATCGGGTTCTCTGTAGCCACACGACGTCGAGATTTCAGGGAAGTGAAGGCGAAGGAAACAAATTACACACTGCTTGCCACACTGCATTGTCAAGTCTTGCCTTAGGCCCTTTGAGCAAAACTTTTCTACTCTAGCCCAAGCAGAGCTATGATCTTCTTTTTCATCCACACACTTCATACTTGTGACGTCAGTTGTTACTTATTTTGTGTGTCTGTGAATGTCTGCAGTGCACGAGTGCACAACACACATGTGAAGGTCAGAGGGCCACTTGGGGGTCTCTCCCCCTACTGCGTGGGGTCCTTGGATTGGCCTCAGTCTTGGCAGCAAGAGCATTTACCCTCTGGGTCATCTCACCAGCCCATCCCCCCACTATTTGTCTGGAGACAGAGTCTTTCTATGTAGCCCAGTCTGGCTCCAAACCCCTGCTACTCATGCCTCAGCCTCCCCAAATGCTGGGATGGCAGACGGTGGGCCTCCCCATGCTAATCTGAAAGGGCTCTTAATGGTCACAGGATGGCATGGGGAGAGCAGAGAAGGTGGCCAACAGCCCTCCAGGCATTCATTGTCCCCTGACTGGTCAGGTCCTGAGAATAACACAGGGGCAAAGTAGAAGACACAAAGAGGGTAGAAAGGCACGCTGTGCAAAAGGAACTCCCCTCTTCCCCATTCCAGAAGCGACGGGCTCTTCAGGAAGGTCACTGCTCCGTCCCGTTGTCCCCTCACAGGTGGAGAACAGGACTGCTGTACACAGATGTAGAAAGTGCCAGAATATAGTAGTGACACCTTAAAAAAAATTGAGGCCCGGTGGTGGTGTGATGCATGCCTTTAATTCTAGTACTGGGGGGTGGGTAGGCAGAGGCAGGCGGATCTCCCTGGGTTCAAAACTAGCCTAACCCTGACCCTAAGCAGAACAGCCAGGGTTATATGGAGAAACCCTGTTTTGAAAAACTGAAGAAAAAAGAAGTTGAACAAGGGGCTGGAAAGATGACTCAGTGGTTAGGAGCACACTTGGTGCTCTTAAAGAAGACTGGGATTCTGTTCCTAGCACCCAAAACACAGCTCCATAGCTTCAGTTGCAGTGACTCTTCTGATCTCTGCAGGCACCAGGCACATACTTGGCACACACACACACACACACACACACACACACACACACACACACACACACACAAATTAAAAATCTAAAAAAGAAATTGAAGAAGAAGCTGGATGATGGAAGAGGGAGACCCTTTCGAATGCTCCAGCCCCCAGAGAATAGAGGATGAGTTTAAAAGCTAGGAGTCTGTGAGGACTGCTGGATGCCCAGGCCAGAGAAGCCTCAGTGGGCAGTGGTCCTGGGGTACATTCTTGAGGCCCCTTCCTATAATCTGAAATCATACCCCTCTGATAACTGGACTTCCTTTGGACTGCCAGCTCCCGAATACTGACACAGAGACATGTGACATGTTATTAACTATTAACACTTGGCCTTAGCTTAGGCTTGTTCCCAACTAGCTCTTCAAACTTAAGTTAACCCATTACATGAACCTAAATTCTGTCACGTGGTTCATTGCCTCTCCTTCCTACTGTATGTTCAACTGGCAAATCCCCCACCTCTCAGATTTTTCCCATGAGTTCCTCTCCCCCGGGAAGTCCTGCCTATCCTCTCCTTGCCTAGCTATTGGCCATTCAGTTCTTTATTGAACCAATCAAAAGGTGCCTTAGGCAGGTGAGGTAAAACACAGACATCTTTACACAGCGTCATCAAATATGTTACAACACCTTTGGAACCAAATTCCAAGCCTCTGAGTCCTCGATCTTGAATATGATCCAGGGGTTTAGAGCAAGGGTCAGCAGGTTCTAGAGTGAATATTTTAGACTTTAAAGACCATGTGGCCTTGATGACAACCACTCAACCCAACAGACGGGTGTGGCTGTGCTCCAACACTGCTTCACTTACAGAAACAGGCTGATGAGAGCGATTCAGTCCCCAGACTATCATTTGCTCACCCTGTTGTGAGGTTAGAATTATGTGATGCTGATTTTCATGAATCTCACAACTTCCTGAGACTTTAGGAGATTCTGGGACAAGGAGAGGTGCAGATCACATGACAATAAACGTTTTGACTTGGGTAAACAGTGTTTTGGTTTTTTTTTTTTTTAGATGATCTTTCTGTTGTTATTTTGTTTGTTTTGAGACAGGGTCTTACTATGTAGTCCAGACTGACTTCTGGCTGAGTATGCAGCCCAAGCAGGTCTTGAACTCACAGTTCTCCTGCCTCTGCCTCCCAAGTGTTAGGATTACAGGAGTGAGCCACCACATCTGGTTTAGACAACTCTTTAGTATGTGTTACTGGGGTATGAACCCAGGGCCTCCTGCAAGCTAAGCAAGTGTTCTGTCATTCAGCTGTATCTCTTACCCTAGGCAAATCTGAACAAGGAGGCGGGCCCCTATGCGCGCCAGTCCTGATGGCTTTCTCTTCCCACAGGGCAATGGCAACAGACCTGGACCCCTGGAACAGCACCATTAATGGTACCTGGGAGGGAGATGAACTGGGCTACAAGTGCCGCTTCAACGAGGACTTCAAGTACGTGCTGCTGCCGGTGTCGTACGGCGTGGTGTGCGTGCTTGGGTTGTGCCTGAACGTCGTGGCTCTGTACATCTTCCTGTGCCGCCTCAAGACCTGGAACGCCTCCACCACCTACATGTTTCACCTGGCGGTTTCTGACTCTCTCTACGCAGCCTCCTTGCCACTGCTGGTTTATTACTACGCCCGGGGTGACCACTGGCCATTCAGCACCGTGCTCTGCAAGCTGGTGCGATTCCTCTTCTACACCAACCTCTACTGCAGCATCCTCTTCCTCACCTGCATCAGTGTGCACCGGTGCCTGGGTGTCTTGCGTCCTCTGCACTCCCTGCGCTGGGGCCGGGCCCGCTATGCGCGCCGAGTGGCTGCGGTGGTGTGGGTGCTGGTGCTGGCCTGCCAGGCACCCGTGCTGTACTTCGTCACCACCAGTGTGCGGGGCACCCGCATCACCTGTCACGACACCTCAGCTCGAGAGCTCTTCAGTCATTTTGTGGCCTACAGCTCAGTCATGCTGAGTCTGCTCTTTGCGGTGCCCTTTGCAGTCATCCTGGTGTGTTACGTGCTCATGGCCCGGAGGCTGCTCAAACCCGCTTACGGGACCACGGGAGGCCTGCCTCGGGCCAAGCGCAAGTCTGTACGAACCATCGCCCTGGTGCTGGCCGTCTTTACCCTCTGCTTCCTGCCCTTCCACGTCACCCGCACCCTCTACTACTCCTTTCGATCTCTTGACCTCAGTTGCCACACCCTCAACGCCATCAACATGGCGTACAAGATCACCAGGCCACTGGCCAGCGCCAACAGTTGTCTTGATCCTGTGCTCTACTTCCTGGCAGGGCAGAGACTCGTCCGGTTTGCCCGAGACGCCAAGCCACCCACAGAGCCCAGCCCCAGGCCCCAGGCTCATCGCAGGCTGGGCCTGCACAGGTCTCACAGGACTGACACTGTGAGGAAAGATGTGTCGGTCAGCAGTGATGACTCCAGACGGACAGAGTCCACACCAGCTGGGAACGACACTAAGGACATTCGACTATAGGTCAGAGCCCCTCAGGCATGTGCTAGTTCATGTGGGGAAGCTGTAGGGGACCAAGGCCTGTTCAAATGGGCCGATGTCCTCAGATGGGGATCATCAACAATTCTCTCCCTGTGGTCCCAAAGTCCCCAGTCATTTGTAAGTGAGCTGGGAAATCCTAGTTTAAGAAAGGCAGTAGTACCTGACTCCCATGCAGGCAGCTGCAGTTTCTGCCAAGGTTGGGGTTCGGTTCAGGCAGGCTGAGGTTCAGCCTCCTAAGTCCAAGGGAGAATGGAGCCCCGAGAAGAGCAGCAGAGTCTGGACCAGGAGTGGGATCACAGGCGACTAGAGGACCCTGTGGGTAAGCAGGGCTGAGTTCCCACAGTGGCCTGGGATGGAACTGGGCCTTACAGTGGACTCGGCTCAGAGGAAGACCCTCAGGCCAAAAGACAAACATCTGAGAACTGATGTCAGATCCATCTGGAGGCTCCCCTGGGCTGGAAGTCAGGTGGAAACCGTAATTTATATCAAAGGCTGTGCCGCTGCAGGCCAGAGCACAGGGCCTGACCTACACAGAGGCCTGTTATCTCTGCCAGCCACTTGCCTTCCGACCACTGCCTCCCAGGAGTCTCGTGTCAGGGGTCCCTCTTCAGACCCCCAGGTCAACCCTGCTTTTAAGTCACTTGTCTTCCATATTGCATTATTCCAAGCATGGAGAAGAGTCAAGTAGGGTTCTAGTTCTTGGGGTTCCCCAGTTCACACAACTTCACATGTGTTGGTGAGTGTCAAACCATTTAACTGAACTGGGAGGGGGCACCGTTACAGCAAAAGGGACTGCCACTTGTTGTGGGACAAATAACCCCACAAATTTCTATTTCAAGTTACCAATACAATGGCAGCCTCTTTGCAAAATTCCTGAAAGTTAACGACTGGTTCTTTTTCGTGGGGAGGCACTGTTGCTGGTCAGACAGGATCTCAGGTAACCAAATGTGGCCTGGGATTTGCCATGTAGTTGAAGCTGACCTCAAATTCCTTACCTTCTTGTCTCCATCTCCAACAACTGGTGCAGGACACCACACTGTGTAACTGGGACTGTGTGACCCCTGGTCAGGGAGGGTTCCCTAGAAGTCAAGAAAGTGGATGGGGATAGCTCTGAGCTTGAGGCAGGAATAGGCACATGTGACAGCCCTCACTCGACCTCAAGGACAAGGAGGTCCCTGTGAGGACTGCCTCCCCTTGCCACCTTGTCTACCTCCTACAACTCTATTCTCTCCTCCCTGACATTAAAGGTGAGGCATCCCCAGGTGCTCTCTGCGCATTCTGTTCTTGTGAGGTGTTGCTAGGAACGACGCGGAATTCCTGGGCTCCAAGGATGCACCTCAGTTCCCTAAGTAGCTGGTTTATAAGCGCAGTCTTTTTATATAGCTTACCTCCAGAGCGTCCTCGAGAGACAAGGAGCCATCACAGGCCAGGACCCAAATAACTATTCTGCATCATCTGCCCAGAACAGCGGGCGATGGCACCTCCCACAGTCTGTGTTCATACTACAGTTAATGTGCCTGGAGTCCCTCTAGCTTCAGTAGCTTCCACTTGTGGACTGTCCTGGGTCTTTCCCCGGCCTGAACCTGCATCTTCCCAACACTGCTCAGGCAGAGCCGCACCCCACTTTACAGGCAGACCCTTCCTACAGATAAACGGAGAGCTGTGCCGAGACCTGGAGGCACAGACACGTATCGTGACCTGGAGGTCTGTAATCTTCACCTATGGGTGGGCATAGGGCTGTTTCCACCATGGACAAGAGTCCCCCTAGTCTCCATTCTCCCCCCATAGCTGCTCTGGAGACCAGAGAACTCAGCACCCATGTGGCTAGAGACCACGCTGTCTTGTTCCCAGGAAGCTTCCTTTGAGCCACTGCATGCAGATTTTGGAGGACACAGGGCCTAGGGGACAGGAGGGACTCTCACCGCCTAGTTCTGTGGCGGTCACTGGTAGTGATATTTCCTAGTGGAACCAGGGATAGGCCTCTGGTCCCACGTCCAGGGGCCAATCAGACTGCCTGTCCCCTTGACGTGGACATCCAGCCATGCAGCCCAGCATCCAGGCCACTTGCCTGGCGGGTAAGAGTCCTGACCCTTCTGCCTGTGCTATTTTCAGCCCCAGTAAGACCAAGATTTTCCACCAACCCCAGACCATTGTCCAGCAATGACGTGAGGTGACCTGCCTATCCTCAAAATATCTCTTTTCACCCTCTGGGACTCCCTGCCCACCCCCACCCTGACAGCATGTCCTAGGGCTGCTGGCTCCTGAAGGCCACTGTGTAAGGGCACAGGAGCCAACCAGCCACTAGACAAAAGCCCAAGGGTGGTCCAGCCCAGCTGCAGACTCAAGGCCAGAGCAAGGAGGGGCCGTGTCCCAGGTCAGTGTGGTTCCTGGGCATCGGCCAGGGGCACGGGCTGCTCCTGCTGCTGTACCACCCCTTCAGCATAGGCCAGTGACTTCACGATTGTCCACACCCCTGCGCTGCCCAGCCCCACCCCCAGAGCTGGAGAATTGTGACCAGGGACTTAACACAGGGGATCCAGAAGGGCAAACTGGACAAAAAGGATAAAAGCATACTGGTCTCTATCGATGCTGTTCTCAGTGAACATGTGACCAGGCATGGTCTCTCAGACCCAAGAGTCTCTTTACTGGATGGAGGGGAGGGTCCCTAAGTCCCTTGTCCGCCAAGATCAGAAAAGGTCCTAGACAACATGTCCATCGTGCCTAGTTGCTCCTGTCTTGGAGTGTGTCAGGTCACCATGCCAGGCCTATACTACAATCATCATGGCAGATTTGGGCTGTCTGTTTAGAATGGGTTGTAGGGTCTGGGATTCACATACTGGCCTGTGTCTCAGGCAGCAAACAGGACTCACACAGGAGAAATCAAGAGGGATGGGTGGGGGCGTGGTCCAGGCAGGCTGCAAATAACATGGCCAAGGATGGCTGAGTCAAGAAAGAGTTCAGATCTCCAGAGGTCCCAGTGATCCTCTAGTATCCCACAGTGCCACAGGGCAGGAGTGTCTACAGCGCTCTTTCCCCTGACTCAGGCCCAGTCTCTCTCACACACACACACACACACACACAAACACACACACATACACACACATACATACACATACACACATACACACACACTGCCAGGAACATGGAGACGAGCCCTTGGACCTAGCCCTCCCAGAGCCTGCTCAGTAAGTGCCTGGGGTCCTCTTGCTCAGACCCTAAGACTAACTTCCTACTCCCACAGACTGTGGAAGAAAGGATGAAGGTCTCTCCTAGTGAAAGTGCACCCTCAATTCCACCCTGCTGGGTAGTGGTAGCTTCTAGGTACACAGGCCTGAGGGTGCTTCCTGACCTTTGTCTTAAATTGTCCACAGAGGGGGGAGAACAGGTAGGAAGCAGGGGGAGGAGGAGAGACTTCTGCCCTCCCACAGAGGAAGCCTGGCTCTCTGTCCCCGGCGGCTTGTGCCCGCCATGGTAGTCTATGGCTGCACCTCCATTCAGTGGAGATCCAGAACGGAAGAACTGTCACAGAAGGTAACAAGTGGGCAGCTTTGGCTGTGTGACCTGAGGCTTCCCACGTGTGCTCTCTGGGCAAGTCTGAAGGTATTGCTTCGGGCTTCTGGCTCTTTTGTGAAGGCATCTGGAACCCAGACCTTCAAGGTACAATTGCTGTTCTCTAAGGATTGCCAAGCCCATCAAAAGGTGAAGGGACTCCATTGTGTCACATGGCGAACTGCTCTTGTGGGTGAGGAGGGCAGCTTAGCCAGGCTGACTGGGCTGCAGGCTGAGCCAGGGACAGAGGAAGGAGCTTGGTGCCCGAGGGTCAAGACCCGTTTCCCTCTGCCCGTGTTGGCAGGACCTGCTTCTGCTCTCTGGGCCTCAGTTTCCCCACACTTGACAGCTGGCTTTGTCCAGCCTGTCTTTGTTCAGAAGGGGCTTTCTGGTTTGCCCTGGTTTCTGCACCAGCTCAGCTGGGTGTCCTGTTTCAGTTCTGTCCCAGCCAGGAACAATGAGCCAGTCACTTGTTGGACCAAACCCTGTCCCCAGGGTCTCCACCCACGATGTTGGACTATTGTCAGCAATGGAGTCAAAAAGGACTTTCCACTCACAGCACAATGATTCCCCCTAGACCATTGTCTAGCAGTGACGTGGGTGGGGGGGATCCGCCTGCCTCAAAATATCCCCTGTGCCCATCCTCAGGCCTCTTACCCTGCCCCTCACCTCCCCACTGACATAATTTCCTGGGGCTGCTGACACTTGATGGCTACAAAACAGAGCAAACAGCTTTCCTTGTTTGGTTTCAGAGGATGAACTGCAGGCCCAGAGAGGGCTGTGTCCTGTCCAAGCTCACACAGCAGTCGGGGCAGAACCGCCACATGCCCAAAGCCACACAGAAGTCAGGGTGAAGTCTAGCCATGAGCCCATAGCTCTCTGGCTGCTCCTGTTGCCTCAGCCACCCCCATTAGCTCTAGCTTGGCTTCAAAGGCCCTGGGGGAGGGGAGATCCTGGTGGTGGGGGAGAGAGGGGCTCAATCTGCAGTCCATCATCTCTGAACAAAGGCCTGAATTCCCAGTTCTTACCAAATGTGGCTCTTAGCGACTGAACGTGCTCTCCCCACATTCCTGTGCTGAAATTCTAAGTGCCCGCCAGATGTGATGGCGTTTACCAGTGTAATCCCAGCACTGGAGAGGTGAGGCAGGAGGATCAGGAGTTCACAGCCATCCTTGACAGCCTAGAGAGTTCATTGCAGACCAGCTACATAAAACTCTGTCTCAAACAAACACCCAAGAAATTTTAATTATCAAATTTGGGGAGGTAAGCCCAGTGAGGTGACTAGGCCATGAGGATGGAGACCTCATAAATGAAATTAGTGCCTATATTGGCCAGCTTTCAGTTACTACAACAAAATACTAAAGTAATAAACATAAAGAGAAAAAGTTTGGGTTTGGGGGAGACCTAGGTAGCTGGTTTGGGGGTCTGGGAGTTGTTTTTTTTTTTTTTTGAGACTGCATCTCATATAGCCCAGGCTATGTGATATTTCTGTCTCAACTTCCTGAGTGTTGGGATCACAGGCAAACATCACATCCCAGTAGGAAAGGTTTATTCTGGCTCAGAGTAATGATTTTTCAGTCCACAACTGGTTTATCCTGTGTCTTCAGGCAGCCTGAGAAGCCTAAGTTTGATCACTGGCACCCACATGGTGGAAAGAACCAATTTCATACCATCACAGCACTGTGGTTCATATGGCACCACAACACACACGAACAAATGTGATTCTTTTTGTGATGTATACAGTGTTCTGGCTGCATGTGCACCTGCAGGCCAGATCTTGTTACAGATGTTTGTGAACCAACATGTGGTTGCTGGGAATTGAACTCAGGACCTCTGGAAGAGCAGGCAGTGCCCTTAACCACTGAGCCATCTCTCCAGCCAACAAATGTGATTTTAAGGGTTGTTAAAAGGGAACCCAGACAGCCAATGCTACAGAGGTCTCTCTAAACCCTGTTTTGGGGGGGAGAACGCAGGGGGAACCTCAGTAAGCTCTCTCATCTCTCCGTGCCATGTGAGGGTACCACAGGAAGCTGGTGTGTTGTAACTGGGAATAACCCAGTCACGTGACCTCAAGTCATCAGCCTCCAGACCGATGAGATCAGTGTTCACTGTGGATAAGCCATTGAGCTTACCACACTTGCTGTTGGAGAGTCGGCTTGACAGTTAAAAGCACTTGCTTCTCTGGCAGAGAACCCAAACTTCGCTCCCAGCACCCGTACAGCAGCTCACAGTTTCAGGGGATCTGATCCCTTCTTCTGACCTCCGTGGACACCAAACACACACATAGTACACATACATAGATACAGGCAAAGTGTTCATTCACGTATACATAAATCTTATTTAAAAAAAAAAAAAGACAGTAGCTTAGTCTGTGGTGAGTTTGGAGTTCAAGGAAATGCTCCAGGGAAAAGAGTCGGCTGGGAAAACAGGGACAAAGGTCAGGCAAGGGTCCAGGCAGCATCATCTCCACTCAGAGGGCTGCAAATTCAGACTCTTCCCCTGGCAGGCAGGACTAATCCTCCTGTCCCGGTAACTGACCAGCAAAGATGCCTGAATGTGAACGGTTGTGTCCTTCCCATCCAAGCTGCACCCTTGGCCGGCTCTAACGCTCTGAGTCACTTAGGGTAACTGATAAAGTTCATTGGAATTTGAGGTTTCAGGCTCTGCTTGAATTAATGCTCAGCCTTCCTCCTGGCTCTTGTCTCCTACTCC